AAGCTGATGATGTAGCCCTTACCACGGAAAGTTAAAACTCTAGCCCCCTTGCACCATCGGTTAGAATTACACCTTGATTGGAAAAGAATTGGCAGATGTGGATGAAGCAGAGCTTGAGTCATTTCAAAGCTTTGTAAAGTCATACATGACTTAGTCGTGCTCGCTGCAGACATAAAACTGAGTGTCCTAGGGTCAGTGACATGTCTTCAGTGGGTAAAGGCACTTGCCACTAAGCCTGACGATGTGAGTTTGATCCTTGGGACAAGAAGGTGGAAGGAGAAAACTGAATGTTCACCTCTGACCTCCACACCCCTACTGTGGCACTCCTCAGACCAACACCCCCATGCACACTGGCACACAAAATAAACAAATAATGTAAAAGTTATAAAGAAATAAAATGTTCTAAGCACGTTTGCATGAGGCCAGGGCACATGTAACTCCTTTGGCTTTGGTCTGATTCATGTGAACTATAGATGCAAAGATAGTTTTCCTTCTCCCCCTCCCCCATCTTTCTTCCTGTGGACTGTACTCACAAAATTAATTTGATGCATACATTTTCTGTTGGAAGCAGTGGTGGGAAAAACGTATCCATGTCTTATGTTCAGTTTCATAGAGGTAATTTATGAATCCAAAGAGACCCCAAACTCCCCAATGTATTGTTGCTAGCCTTCAAATATTTTTTTAATGTTAGGAAGAGAATGAAATCAGAATGCAGGATTTTGAATTAATCTCTGCTCCAGATGTGGGGGGAGATTCCTCTTAGTCCTTTTAAGGTAAGCATGTGACCTACTGTACAGCCGAGGGGCTTGGGCGTCACGTGGTGGAGTGAATAATGCGTCTGATACAGGCTTGATGAGACAACTGACCTGGTTGCCATCTGCAGCCCTGAGAAGCAAAGTTGACATTTCTGGATCACTCTCCCTACAAGCGCTGCTCACCCACTCCTGTGACAGCAGCTCTCCCTGAGCCAGCACTGCAGGGACAGTAAGGAGGAAGCTGAAGGTGCCGCTCTCACAGCTGAAGTTGGAGAACTTGGGCTGTTTTCCTTTCTCCCCATCCCCCACCTCCTGACCAACCACATCTTGACTCACAGAGTTGAAAGGAAAACTCAGCTTTTCGATATTTGGGAAACCTCCCGAAGACCACAGTTTAGCTCTGAGAAGGAACCTAGCCCATCTCTCTTTGCTAACAACACACACACACACACACACACACACACACACACACACGCTCACTCTCAGCTCCACACCATGGTAGTTCAGACTGCAGTGACTCCAAACAGACCTCAGAGACTTCTGAAAATACCATATGGATCTCTGAGAAGGCGCAGCGTGGAGAGGGTAAGCAATGTGGCTGTGGCCGGCTATTTGTTTTCATTGGGCAGTTGCTACAGACATGGAGATGGTGATTTCACTGTGCTCAGAATTACTGCTGCTACTGTTTTCCTGAGCAATTCCAGTTTCCTAGGGCTGCAGATTGTGATTCTCTCTCTCTCTCTCTCTCTCTCTCTCTCTCTCTCTCTCTCTCTCTCTCTCTCTCTCTCTGAGATAAGGATGAGACTTCTGAAATGGAAATGTCTGTCAGTTGCAGATGCCGGAGGGAAGATGAAATGTGAGGGTAGAGCTGTGTCCCCCTGGAGCTTGTTGAGAAGTGTGTCAGGGTTGAGAGCCTGACTGCTCCGGTGACCGAAACATAGTCTCAGTGCCGTAGCATCTCAGGTTTCCTCTGCTGGAGAAAAACGAGGTGAAGGTGGTGTTAAGGTGCTTTGGAGCCTCACCAATGTCATTTATGAAGCCCATTGGTTAAAAGCCTCTACTCATCTTTACCCATTCTGCTGTTGTTGCCCTTTCAAACATATTGCAGTCCTTTTGGGTCCGTTTGTTCATAACTGATTTTGGCTGAAGTGATTGTTAATTTCCTGAAAGCATGTGCCCTTCATGGTAGCCCCTGACAGAGAGGAGCCTATAAAATAATAATAAGGGTTGGTCTTTCTTTGTAATAAGATATGCAGTTTTAAGGGTGGCTGTCATGAATGTAAAATGGGCTGATTGTCTGGAGGAGGTCGGCTCAACATGTGGGGATTGGTGTCTATACCACCATGGGGCAGGATTATTGTATGTGGCTTAGAACCCCCCAGACTCCCTGTTAGAATCCTGACAAGCCTTTCTATGAACTGGATGTCATACCCACGTGTTAGATTAAGTACAGGCCAAAACCATCTCAAACATGAGATAGAAAAGTTACCTGATGCAGCTCATGAAAGGGAACAGACCTTAATTTAAATGGCTTTTCCTGGATGGACTACTCAGTAGTTAAGGGTTTTTTTTTTTTTTTAATTTAAAGAAAACCTAATTAAAGTTTCAGCCTATGGGCAACCGTCTAGAATATCCAGGCAGGATTGAGTTTGTGGCTCTGATAAGTTATAATTTTTTTCTATTTGAATTTTTTAAGGGCATTAGCCATTCTGGTTGTGTGTAGGTCTTCAGTTCAGTTTGAAACACGTTTCATTGCTCTGTACTAGTTACACCAATTAATGTGTAGTAAGCTCCTACTGTGTGCTTTCTTTTATAGCTTTGGAGCCCAGAAATAAAAAAAAAAAAACACAGACACACAAATTCATCCATCATCTCCTTTGTTTATCTGTTTCTTTGTTCTGAAACACTGTCTCACTCTATAGAACTCACTGTGCCATCCAAGCTTCCCTCCAACTCATTGCAATCCTATGTCAGTCTCCAAAGTGCTAGGATCACAGCTGAAGCCAGATGTCCCAGCCCCAGTGCATGTGGAATGTGATTTTTCAGTTATGATGAAAAACCTTGCCTCTGAGATAACCAAACCTGTGTGACATGTTTTAATGTCTCATTACTGAGATATTTGTTCATAACTACCCAAATGTGTTTCTCAGGGCTGGGCAGCATGGCAATATAGAGGAGAATATTAAACTGCTTCTGAAAGGAAGAAACAAATAAACAAACAACAATCTAGTTATGGGGCTGGAGAGATGACTGAGGTGGCTGCTCTTCCAGAGGACCTGGGTTCTATCCCCAGAACCACAGACAGTTCACAACTGTCTGTAACTACAGGGCTAGTTACCTTGTAGCCTCTCTCTATATCATTCATATCTCCATATGAGTAGTTAATATTTAAATATAGATTTGCATAAATACAGAGGGGTGCACTTACAACTTGGTCTTTCTCACTGTACACCATTTTAAGACATACTGACAATAAAGGAATCCAAATATGACCTATTACATGTCTGTTGCCATTGTGTATTTACAAGTAAGGTAATATATTGAATTTGAATCATACATAGCTTATTTCTTCCCCTGAGCATATGCTAAGGTTCACGGCCTTAAAAGTCAGGTCTAAGGGCTCTAAAGCCTTTAAAGCATCCTGCACTTCCTTGGAGCTTGGGTGTTGCAGATGGACCTACCACCTCTCCCTCCTGGACAATGAGATAGAAGTTAATTAGAATATATGGTAGGTAGCCTGTCAGGTCCAATTGGGCGTTTAACACTGCAGTGCTTCCGTGATACTTCTCAAAATGGAAGTCATGTATTTATATAAAAGGAGGATAGTTAGGTGGTAAACAGCTCCAGACCATGAAGGCTGACCCACTTTCCCAGGGACTCTAGCACCTAGCCCTTGTAACAGTGGAGAGAGTGCCAGACATTTTGGCAACGATTATTGTCTGGTGAGTCTCAAAGGCTTCAAGTTACTAAAAGGCCTTTACTCCAGGCTCTCCAGGCCCACCTCCTCTCCTTACCATCCTGAGCTTCTAGTAAAACATGGAACATGGGCCTCTTACCCCTCATGCTATGTAAACAGGGAAACTAGGTGCAGTAGGCATCATCTTCCATTCAGACACAATAGTCCGTGACAGAATAAGCCCTTGGTCCTGGAACTTAGGGTTGTCTGTCCTTGACATTACAAAAAGCCTTGTGACCTTTGCTCTCTGGCTGCCATGCGACATGGCAGCCTGGCTCTGAACAGAATTATCACCATGGTGCTCCATGCACATGGGTGCTATGTCACTCAATCTACTTGAGCCACAGCACCTTCACGCTCTCTTCCTTTTAAATCATGTGTTTTATTACAGTGGTCAATGAGAAAATGAAGTTAGAAAACCTTTTTATGTGGCCCAATTCAGGTGGTTTGAGTTTGCTATTTGAAACTGAGGTAGAGGTAGGTCCTGTATGGTGGATATGGCCACCTCAATTCTCTGCTTTTGTGACAGAAGCTGAGCAATATATATGTCTTCCCACCCTAGATTTGATCCCTGATACCACTGAACTCTTCCTTCAAGGACTTCTCAAGTTGTAGCCTGTCAGAGTTCATGCTCTGATGTCACAGCTGTGAGGGACACAAAGCTTGATCCCCTAGTTGCTGATCCTCTAACACATAGACCTACAGTCCCAGAATGCACTGAGCATCTCTGTTCTCTTGACAGTCTTCACACTTTGAATCTAATGTGTCCAAAGTGGAATTTGTCCCCCACCACCACAAGCCTGCTCCCCACCTCAGCATGAGCTAAGTACAACCAAGCATCAGTGAACATGGATACCACACATTCTTAGAAACCCATAGCCATATCCTTTCATTGTTGTACCAACATCATAGAGTGTACTCACATAAACCTAGATAGGATAGCCTACTATATGCCTGAAGAATGTGGTACATACAAGAATGCACACTATTGCCACTTACTCTTAAAATCCTAATACTCCTAATAACGCAATATTAAATCAAATGCAATAAAGTATAATGAAATGGAGGAAAGAGATAAGCATGAGACATAGGAGGCTGCTGTTGGCATACCATTTTCTAGCCAATTACGATGTTTTGATAACTAGAATGATTACAGTCTAAGATATTGATATTGATAATGATAAGCCAATAGTGTAGTCACTCATGGTCACTTTCAAGTGTCATGTACAATGTAATTGTCAGTGCTTGACTTTGATATGATTGACAGTGAGCTAGGGTTGTTTGCAGAGGATCAAATAAATAGGAAAATTCAATGCACTGTGATATTATCATGGTCACAGTGTCACTGACTTTAGAAAAATGGGCAGCTCCCTCATAGTCTTTTCTTTCTTTTTCTTTTTCTTTTTTTTGTTTGTTTTTGTTTTTTCATGACAGGATTCTCTGTGTAGCCCTGGCTGTCCTGGAATTCAGTCTGGCCATGCTGGCCTCAAACTCAGAGATCTGCCTGTCTCTGCCTCTTGAGAGCTGGGATTAAAGGCATATGTCACCACTGCCCACTAAGATCCCTCAAAATCTTATGGGATTGTATGTGGGTCTGTAACAGACAGAAATGTTGGAATGGGACATGTACCCAAACTAGAACCCAGGTATCTGCCTATCCTTTCCATTTCCTTTGTGTGTGCGGTTTTGATATCTCTGTCATCCTGTAGCTCCTCCCAACTGCCAGATTAAGATCACTGTCTTCTCGGGGCTGCTAGTCTTGTACCTTCTTTTGAAGTCTTTTCGGTTAGATTGGGGACAGATACATCACGGTGTACATAAAGCATTTCAGTGGTCCTGTGCCTCAGGACAGGTACCAATGCCAGATTACAATCAGCACACTGCTGAGATCGCTGTCTCACTTCTTCACCACCTTACTCTTAGCCAACACTTCAACCACACATGAGCAGATACTTCTGCCTTTAGAGTACCATTCTCTCTGCTGTATCAGGCCTTTGAACATTCTTCCATTAACCTGGCACTTGCTGCCTCCTCCCCCCACCCCTTAACTTCCTATTCCCATCCTTTTGCATGAAGCTCATTTCCTATTGGAAGCCTTTCCTGGTGCCCCACCTCCAAGCAAAGTCTACAAAAGCATAGATGCCACAATGTTCTGTGCTTCTCTTGCAGTAACACAGATGGCCTGCATTGAAGTTGTCCTTTCCATGGATAACAAGCTCCTTAAGAACAAGTCACCTGGTTCATAACAGGAATGGTAGAAATATCTGATCTCAGACTGTCCATCCATGTACTTTATACCAATATGAGGACTCTAGATAAAATCTGTCAAGGAAGCTAGCCATGCCCAACACAGATCCAAGAGTCCATCCTATTCTTCCTAGTATAGGGAGTCATTGGCCTAATCTAGCATAATCTGCTATAAAACATAAAATTAGGGCAGGGGAGATAGCTCAGTGGCAAAGTGCTTATTATGCTAGCACAAGGACCTGAGTTCAATCCTCAGAACCCATGTTTTTGTTTTGTTTTGCTATTTAAAAGAGAGCCAGCATGTGTGATTCACACTTGCAATCCCAGTTCTGGGGAGTAAATAAATAGATAGGATATAATAGAATGTAATAAACCATTCCAT